CAGCTGATCAGCTGTTTGTCGGCTCAGCGCGGCAGCCATGTAAATGTAAATGAAGCCACGATCATTTAAATCGCGGCTTCATTTGCCTTTGCCTATGTGTCTAATCTACATGCCTCTGCCGACAGAGGCATGTAGTCTAGACACAGCCGAGGAGTGCTAGCCAGCAGCGGGTGACTAGAAAATATATTTCTAGGTACAGCCTAGATAGTGAATGGGGCAGGAGGAAGGGGGTATATAGATTTTACACAGAGAAGCTTAACCAAACAACCCAACCAAAGGAAAATACCCTGATCACGACTAAATATACATTCCCCTATCTACTCACGATCCGTGCTGATCCACACTCCAAGGCCTAGTTCACTCCCATGCCCAGTGTTCCTTGTAAGCATGGGAATTCTGATTACTGCATGTTGCTCCCTCCAGCCCTTAACTTAAGAGTTGTTAGAGAAGAAACAGGTGACCCAGGAGCAGATGGGGAAAATAGAACTGCTTTATTGTCCATATACGTTTACCTTGGACATTCAACACAACGTCCGAATGGCAACAATTTGGCATGAATTACACCCTTTTATCTATGTTAGTTTGTTAATTCACACGTCTATCACTACTTTCCTTCAAACCTTATTTAGTAATGTTAACTCCCATACAATGAATATTAATAAGCAGGTGATTCATATTATTATACCCACCCCTAATTTAATTAAATAATCTGTGAATAGTAATTAACACATTAATTTTTTTACACTACTAATTTTTTAGTAATTATTTTACACTGCAAACTTTTTAAATTAGCAGGTTACAGAGATTACAAGAAAAGTAACCCTTAAATATTTGTACAGAGCCAGTGAGGGTATGTAAAAGGCACAACAAATAGGAGCAGCTACATGCTTAGCTATCTTTTTAGGCTGCAAATGTGAAGGGAAAGAACACATTTATACATCAGAAAGTACAATACCTGCTTTGGCCAGACTTTTAATCTGTTATTCTTAAGGGCAACTCCTGCTGTGGCTGACCCCTTACCACTCTCCCAGACCCCTATTAATTTTTATATATTCCAACAAGAGTCTCACAAAGAGAAATGGCAGCAGGTATATACATACCATTCAAATTTCAAAAATCTTTCCCATTGGTTCTCCTTGCTTCCTGCCAACACCCCCGCTAGCTACCTGACACCACGTCTACACTGTAGCTTTTGTCAACAGAGGGAATGCAAATGAAGCACTCATTAGCATTTCTCATGCTCTCATTTGCATAGTCTCTTCTGATTTGTTTTGCGGAAGAGGCTTTTGCGCAAATAACGCAGAGTATACAAGGCCATTTTGTGCAAAAAAAACCCAAAAAACCCTTTTGCACAAGAAGGTAGACAGGATCTTGCACAAAAGGGTTTTTTGCCCCGTCTACCCTGAGGGGTTTTTTTGTGCTAAATCCTCTTCCGCAAAACAAATCAGAAGAGACTATGCAAATGAGAGCATGAGAAATGCTAATGAGCGCTTCATTTGCATTGTCTCCAGACGACAAAGGCTGCAGTGTAGACAGCCTGAGTGCAACTCTTTAGTCACTGGGTGCTGGCCAGCCTTCCTCCTATCCATCACTCCCCCCACAAGTCAAAGATGGTTCTGTTACAGGCACAGGTCGGGTAACCGCGGACAGGCGCTGATTGGGGCAATCACAGCTTTGATACGGGGGCAAATGCAAGGCGACAAACCCACACTGGAAGCAGATATTGCAAAGGCCGGCGTGCGTCTCCCCGCTGACCAGGAAGTTGGGATTACCTGGGTTTTGCTCTCTTTTTGCATCTCCGTTGCCACAGGAGACCATCAGGGACCGCTGCTCTCCTTGAATATTCTCGCCAGATTCCGTCTCTCCGCCTGTCTCCGGCCCCCCATTACAGGTGGGTTGCCCCTCGCCTTGTGGAACCTGCTCAAGAGCGTCCGCTGTTCCCTCCATCTCTCCGCCAACGCGCCACTTCCCCACGGCTGGAGCGAGCGTCCGCACCCCGATTTTTCTCCCTCTGCGGCTTCTGCAGGAGCTGAAAGCCAAGGGGTCATGCTTCGGTCAGTTCATATCTTTGGGGGAAGCTGCTGCTTGGGGAGGTGAGGTACCCAATCTGTGGCCCCGCCCCTGCTCCTAAGGCCTCACCCCCAGCTCTCCAGGCCCCGCCTCCTCCCCATTATCCCTCCCCCGCTCTGCTCACCCTTCCAGCCAAACCCCAAAGGTAGCAAATCTCTTACTCTACCTACAAAATAAAAAAAAATTTCCTGCGGGATGACAGAGCGACATCGTGCCACTCTACGTCCCACAGCCCATCCCCCCTTTCCCTCCCTGATGCTGGGGTGGACTGTGGGCCCAGAGGGTGTGTCTAGACTACAGGGTTTTGTCGACAAAAGAGGACTTTTGTTGACAAAACTGTACCTGCATCCACACTGCCTTTGAGTTATGTCGACAGAACGTCGACAACACTCAGCAGTGTTGTCGACGTATGTAAACTTCATTCTACGAGGAATAACGCCTTTTGTCGACAGAGTTCTGTCGATAGAAGGCGTTATTGCATCTACACTGTCCTTTGCGTCCACACTGTTATGTCGACAAAGCGGCTTGCTTGGCCGACAGAACTGGATGTCGTCTAGACGCTCTTTGTCGACAGTATCGGTCGACGAAACCCTGTAGTCTAGACATACTCAGAGTCCTCTCCCCCCGCCCCATCAGCCAGAGGGATGAGCATGGGGGAGCCAGGGTGCCCCAGAGGCCTTTTTCCATTATGGGGGGAGGGGGACCTCAGAGGCCTTTCCCCCTCATGGGGGGTCAACTAGCCATGGACCAGCCCAGCTCTCTGGGGGGCACAGGGAGAATCGGCATGGCGTCCAGCGCCTCCCAGCACACAGGGGGAAAGCTGGACCTGACCCCCCTCAGTGACAGGGGGGAGGCAAGGAGTCCCTGGGGGATCAGGGGGCAGCGAGGGAGAGAGGTGGGCGGTCTCGGGGCTGGTCCCTCCCCAGAGTCAGGGGGAAGAGCCAGTGCTGTGGTGGCCTCTGATACTCCCTTGTGGTGGGGGAGAGAGGCAGAACCACCGGGGTTTGAGCCAGCCAGACATGTGCCATGGACCGGACCGGCTGCTGGGATTAGGGTTAGACCACGGTGGGAGAGAGAGAAAGGGCCAGGGCTGGCAGATGTGGGGAGGGAGAAGGGCCCCAGGCCGACATGGCTGCAGCCCAGCCCTCCCTGTTGGCCAGGGGGAGCCAGGGTTCCCTACCCCCTATGACGAGGGGGCAGGGGGAGGTAAGTGCAGCCCCCTAGTGGAATTTAAAAATAACACCCACACTCTAAAATTTCTTCCTAAAGAAATTGGAGCATGCTTCCCCGTGCATGGTGGATTGTGAAGACAAGACGTGCAGAAGGTCCCTACTTTTTTTATTTCCAAATGTCAGTCACAGGGATTTCTGGTACACCCTGAAGTTGGCCAGAGATTTATTTGCAAAAGCTTTGTGGGACAGGCAAATCAGCTGCCCTGCTGAATGCAGGACACAGCTCCGTCTGGTTTCCATTTTCGTAGTCAGTATTTCTAAGCTGATTTTATATTTTAAACGTACTCTCATGCCTTCACAAAGCAGTCATTCCAGATCGTTTCGGCGCCTTAAACATGTAGTAAAGACATTTTAAATCAATCAGCCAGAATTGTTTCACATGTTAGAACAAGGTTCCAACAACACACCTCCTGGCAGGCTCCAGCTTTTATCGTTTTCATCAGTGTCTATGCCTGGTGTTGTGTTACAGCTCTTTTATCTGTGTGGCAGCTATTTCAATTTCCACAGTTGTGGGGCAACCCGGGGGAGGGGGCGTGGTGGCTTCAGACACTGTTTCATGACTGTTCGTGAGACTATTCCAAGTTCAAGCTTTAGAAATGTTTTAACAATCTGCGCCACCCGTCCAAAGACATAAAATCAACTCTTGAGAAGTTCTCAGACGTCTTATTCTGCCTTTGCCAGGCTGTACATTTGAACAGAGATTTTTGTTGGTGTGTCCGTGTGTGGTGAAGCCAATCCTGACATGTCACTATCATAGAATATTAGGACTGGAAGGAACCTCGAGAGGTCATCGAGTCCAGTCCCCTGCCCTCATGGCAGGACCAAATACTGTCTAGACCATCCCTGATAGACATTTATCTAACCCGCTCTTAAATATCTCCAGAGATGGAGATTCCACAACCTCCCTGGGCAATTTATTCCAGTGTTTCACCACCCGGACAGTTAGGAACTTTTTCCTAATGTCCAACCCAAACCTCCCTTCTGCAGTTTAAGCCCTTTACTTCTTGTTCTATCCTCAGAGGCCAGGATGAACAAGTTTTCTCCCTCTTCCTTGTGATACCCTTTTTAGGTACCTGAAAACTGCTATTATGTCCCCTCTCAATCTTCTCTTTTCCAAACTACACAAGCCTAGTTCTTTCAGTCTTCCTTCATAGCTCATGAACACAATACTTCACTGGACACAATACTCCAGCTGAGGCCTAATTAACGCAGAGTAGAGCGGAGGAATGACTTCTCATGTCTTGCTCACAACACACCTGTTAATGCATCCTAGAATCATGTTTGCTTTTTTTGCAACAGCATCACACTGTTGACTCATATTTAGCTTCTGGTCCACTATCCCTTTCTGCCAAGTACAGGGACCCACCAGGTTCCCTGAGGGAAACAGTGGCTTTGAGGACTCTAAGGGTGTGTCTAAACTGTATGGCTCCATCGATGGAGCCATGTAGATTAGGCTGATCGGCAAAGGGAAATGAAGCCGCGATTTAAATAATCGCGGCTTCATTTAAATTTACATGGCTGCC